GAGGGAATCAGCTCTAGGACTCTCCGGTTAATCCTGTTTCTGGTCTCTCCTCCAGGGACTCTGGGCAGCTCTACTAATTTTGTGGGCCGCTCCGCAATCGTGGCGGGCAGGTCAATTTATGCCTGCCCTTGCTGCTCTGAGCACTCCCTCTCAGGCCATAAGGGTGCCAGTCTGTGTGAGGCCTTGCGGGCAGGTGCAAGTGTTCGCCCGCCCTCGTGGGTCACACACATGCTCGCCAACCCTCGGCGGTCACTCGGCGCAAGTGTGCGAGCCTGCTCTGGGTGTTTTGGGGGTGTCTATGTTTGCTTTTCAGCTTTTGGCTCTTTGGGCGTGTGGCCTCTTCCCGCGCAATGGAGACTACGGCAAGGAGAAGGAGTCGGGACTCCCTGGTTTCTCCTCCCGTTCTTTCCCCAATGCCTCCGTTTCTAGTCTCCCTTCAGGGGCCTCTGGGCAATTCTGTTACCCCTTCGGCCAAGGATCCAACCCCTGTGCGGACTGCGTTTCAATCGCAGGCAGTCTGGTTCATGCGCTCCCCACTTCTGCCTCTATGGGGTCGCGCCTTTCCAGCCCACAATGGAGACTACCAAATGGGGAGGGAGTCGGGACTCCCCGGTTCCTCCTCCCATTCTTTCCCCAACGTCTCCGTCTCCAGTCTCTCCTCAAGGCTCTCCCAGCCAGTCTGCACTCAGCCCCGCAGCTCACATGCGTACAAGCTGTGTGCGGAGCACACAAAAGGCACGTTAATTGATTCCCTTATGCCTGAGTGAGATGGTAGCTGCAGAGTGGGAAGTGCGTTATCACCGGGGCTCCACCGGCCGCTGTGTCAGTTCTCTTCACAAAGTTTTCTTCACCAGTCTTTTCCCAGGCAGCAGCCCACCCTACTGCTGCCTCTACCCAGCGATCAAGGAGGGTGGCTGCTGCTGCAACTTTTGCTTTTGCCCTTTAAATGTCTTTTTGCATCCCCAGCCACCTGTCTCTGGCAGAGAGCACCGCTAAGCTTTTTGGGGTTGTGTTTTGTCTGTATTTTCTCGGCTTTAGCTGCTGTAGTTTAGGGGTTCCTGTTTATGATTCCGACCCTGTTCTTCTCGGGGGGAGCTAACTGGCCTTTTCAATGTCCCTCTGGTGCCAGTGCCCGTGGGCACCCAGCCCACCCTCTCGAGACTCCACCGCAATTCTCACCCGTTGGGATGTGTGAGAGTAGAATCCACTGTCTGGGGCACCTAGGCTCCTCTCCTACTATCGCTCCACTGCTTTCCAGGTGATTACTCCATTATTTAGTTGCAATTCCAGTTTGGTTTTGGGAGGAGGTCAGCGTGACTCCCTTTCACTCCTCCGCCATCTTTCTGACATAAATAATCTTTTAAAAAAAGTAAAACGGAAGGAGAAATAGCTTCCCAGATAAGAAAAAGCTAAAGAAATTTGTTAACACCAAACCAGTACTGCAAGGATATTAAAAGTCTTGTTTGAAGAAGAAAATGAGAAATAAAAAAACAGAGGAAACCATCTAACAATAAAATGGCACTACATATGTGTCTATCAATAATCACCTTAAATATAAATGGCTGGCTTAAATGCTCTGACCAAAAGGCAGAGGGTAGTTGAATGGATAAGAAAACAAGACCCATATATATACAGCTTCCAAGAGATACATCTCAGATCAAAAGATACACACAACTTAGTAAAGGATTGGAAAAAAGATATTTCATGCAAATGAAAAGGGTAAAAAGCTGAGGTACCAATACCTTTATCAGGCAAAATATAGTTTAAAACCAAGGCTACAGTGAGAGACAAAGAAAGGCACTACATAATAATAAAGGGAATATTCCAAGAATAGGCTATAACCCTAGTAAACTTTTATGCACCCAACATAGGAGCAACTAAATATGTAAAGCAAATAATTCTGGACATAAAAGGAGAGATTAGCAGAAATACAGTCATAGTTGGGGATTTTAACACCCAATTGACTTCAATGGATAGATCTTCCATGCATAAAATCAACAGGACAGTGGCTATAAACAACACACAATGTCAAATGGATTTAATTGATATCTTCAGAGCATTTCACCCCAAAGCAGCAGAATATACATACTTGTCAAGTGAACATGGGGCATTTCCTAGGATCAACCACATGCTAGGACACAAAACAAGTCTCAATAAATTTAAGAAAATTGAAATCATATCAAGTGTCTTTTCTGAACACAATGGTATGAAACTAGAAATCAATCACAAGAGGAACACCGAAAAATATGCCAAGACATGGAAGCTAAATAACATGTCATTAAACAATAAATGGGTCAACAACAAGATCAAAGAAGAAATCAAAAGATACCTTGAAACAAATGAAATAGAGGACACAACAATCCAAAATCTGTGGGACACTGGAAAAGCAGTCCTAAGAGGGAAATTCATAGCATTATAGGCCTATCTCAAAAAAAAAAAAAAAGCTAAAAATAAACAATCTAATTTCACACTTAAAGAACTTGAAAAGGAACACAAGCAAAGCCCAAAGTGAGTAGAAGGAAGGAAATAATTAAGGTCAGAGCAGCAATAAATAAAATAGAGTCTAAAAATGATACAAAAGATCAATGAATCCAAGAACTGGTTCTTTGAAAAGATAAACAAGATTGATAAATTTTTAACTTGACTCATCAAGAAAAAAGAGAAAGGACACAAATAAAGAAATTTAGAAGTGAAAGAAGACAAATAACAACTGATACCAAAGAAATAGAAAGGGTTGTAAGAAGATATTAAGGGGGCAAGGGAAAGTGGTGGGGGGTAGGCAGAGATAAATGTATTTGAAAAAATTAATTAATTAATTAAAAAAAGAAGATATTAAGAACAATTACAGGCAAACAAACTGAACAATGGAGATGAAATGGATAAATTCCTAGAAATATACAATGTTCCAAAACTAAATTAGGAAGAAATAGAGAATCTGAATAGACACATTACACCTCATGAAATTGAAGCAGTAATCAACCCCCCCAAAAAAAAACCCTGGACCAGATAGCTTCACAGATAAATTTTACCAAACATTCTGAGAACTAACACCTCCTCTTCTCAAACTATTTCATAAAATTCAAAAGAAGGGAAGGCTCCCTAACTCATTTTATGAAGCCAGCACTATTCTAATTCCAAAACCAGATAAAGACACTACAAAGAAAGAAAATAACAGACCAATATCCCTGATGAACATAGACACTAAAATCCTCAAAAAAATATTAGAAAACAAAATACAAAAATGCATCAAAAAGATCATACACCATGATCAATGAGATTTATTCTCAGAATGCAAGGATGGTACAGCATTTGCAAATCAATAAATGTGGTTCACCATATAAACAAAATAAAGGATAAAAACCACATGATCATATCAATAGATGCAGAAAAAGCATCTGATAAAATCCAGCACCCATTTATGATCAAAACTCTCAGGAAACTGGGAATAGAGGGAAAATACCTAAGCATAATAAAAGCCATATGTGACAAACCTACTGCTAACATCACACTCAATTGGTAAAAACTAAAATTGTTCCCCTTAAGAATGGGAATGAGACAAGGATGTCCGCCTTCACCTCCATTATTCAACATAGTACTGAAAGTTCTAGTCACAACAATCAGACAAAAAGAAGAAATAAAAAGGCATCCAAATTGGAAAGGAAGAAGTAAAACTGTCTTTATTTGCAGATGTGTGATATTGTACATAGAGAACCCCAAAGATTCCACCAAGAAACTACTAAAATTGATAAATGAATTCAGCAAAATAGCAGGATACAAAATTAATATCCAGAAATCAGTTGCATTTTATATGCCAATAAAAAACTAACAGAAAGGGAAATTAATAAAACAATCCCATTCACAATTGCTTAAAAAAAATAAGAACTAGGAATAAACCTAACCAAAGATGTAAAAGACCTGTACTTTGAAAATTATAAGACATTGAAGAAAGAAACTGAAGAAGATACAAATAAGTGGAAGCATATACTGTGTTTATGGATAGGAAAAATTTACATTATTAAAATGTCCATACTACCCAAAGCAATCTATGGATTCAATGGCATTCCCATCAAGATTCCAATGACATATTTCACAGAACAAGAACAAATATTTCAAAAGTCCATATGGAACCACAAAAGGCCCCACATAGCAATAGTGATCCTGAGAAAGAAGAACAAAGTTGGAGGAATCATACTACTTAATATGAAACTATACTATAAAGCTATAGAAATGAAAACAGCACGGTGCTGGCATAAAAACAGACACACAGATCAACAGAAGAGGATAGAAAGCCCAGAAATAAACCCACACCTTTATAGTCAAGTAATATTCAACAGAGGAAGCAAGCACATACAATGGGCTAAAGATAGTTTATTCAATAAACGGTGTTGGGAAAATTCAACAGATACGTGTAGAAAAATGAAACTAGACCACCTTCTTACACCACACACAAGAATAAATTCAAAATGGATCAAAGATTTAAGTGTTAGATCTGAAACCATAAAAATCCTAGAAGAAAACATAGGGAGCAAAGTCTTGGACATTGCTCATAGAAATTTTTTTATCAGATGTATCTCCCCAGGCAAGGGGAACAAAAGAAAAATAAACAAATTAGATTTCATCAACCTAAAAAATTGTGCGACAAAGGAAATTGTCAACAAAATAAAAAGACAACCCACAGAAAGGGAGAACATATTTGCCAATATACCTGGTAAGGGGCTAATATTCAAAATTCATAAAGTAATTACAAAATAACACCATAAAATCCATTTAAAAAATGGGCAAAGGACCTGAATAAACACTTCTCCAAAGAGGACATACAGATGGTCAATAGTCATATTAAAAAGATGCTAAACATCACTAATCATCAGCAAAATGTAAATAAAAAACACAATGAGGTACCATCTCACACCTGTCAGAATGGATATCATCAATAAATTAACAAACAACAAGTGCTGGAGAGGATTTGGAGAAAGGGGAACTCTTGTATGCTGTTATTGGGAATGCCGAGTGGTGCCGCCACTGTGGAAAACAGTATGGAGCTACCTCAAAAAATTAAAAATGGATCTGCCTTTTAACCCCTCAATCCCACTTCTGGGAATATGTCTGAAGGAACCCAAAACACTAATTCAAAAGAACATAAGCACCCCTATGTTCATTGCAGCACTATTTACAATAGCCAACATATGGAAGCAGACCTAGTGTCCATCAATTGATGAGTGGATAAAACAACTATGGGACATTTACACAATGAAATTCTGCTCGGCTGTTAAAAAGAAGAAAATTTTACCCTTCGCAACAGTACGGGTGGACCTGGAGAACATTATGCTAAGTGAAACAAGCCAATCAGAGAAAGACAAATGCCATATGATTTCACTCATATGTGGAATCTAATGAACAAACTGAACTAACAAGCAAAATACAGACTCATAGATGGAGAATATGTGACAGGTAGTGTGGGTGGAGTTAGTGGGTGGAGGCATTGAACAATAAAAAAAAAGACTCATAGACATGGACAACAGTTGGTAATTGCTTTGAGAAGGGAGGTAGAAGGGGACTAAATGGTAGTGGAAAAAAATATAATAAAGTTAAAAACTGAAAAAGGTGTGAAAATTAGCTTTCTGTCCCATGCCCCAAAGATAACTATTATTAATAATTTTGTGTGGTGTATATATGGATACACTGAAACATGTTCAAAAATGCATCAGACATATGGATTTTGGGGGGTTTTTTTTGGAAGTAGGTACTATTCTTATTCACTTTTTTCTGTATATAGTAAAATTTTCTCTTTTTGGTGTACTATTCTATGACTTTGGATAAAAAAATTAAGTGTAAGACATATTTTTTTTTCATTTTAACCAGAAAAGGGATCACATTGTAAATATTGGCTGATAATTTCTCCCCACACTTAATGAATTTCAGATATCTTTCCATGTGAGTATGTGACCAGTGATGTTCTAGAACTACCTTATACCAACTTGTGGTAGCAAGTTGTATGTATCTCTTACTAAGTCTGCATTTAGTGATGTTCAATGACATCAAGTTGGTATCTTGAAATCTGCCATGGTGGGAATATTTACATCATGTAAAATGGCAAACACTGAAAATAAAGACTTTCTCTCCCCATGAAATCTGTTTGTTAAACATTTAATACCCCTATACCACTGCACATAGCTCTCATCCTTTTAAAAACATAGCACTCTATAGTTTTGATGTGCCATCACTTATTCAATCATTTAATAGGATATGTCTTAAATTTGTGCCCTCTGTAGGAAAATGCAGAGAATTATTTGATTCAGTATGAAGCAGAACAAATAGCAGAGAAAGGAGATTAAATCCTTAGTCAATGGGGCATTAATGTGAGCAGCAGTTGAATTTGAATATCAGTGTTGATGTTGAAAAGTGAATGTAATCAGGTGTATTTCAGTGTGCTGCAATGGGAAAAAAAAATTTTCCTAAAAACAATTCATCTGATACAAATGGCTTGCATAGAATATGGAGCTGTGAAAATTTAGTCCTATATTTTCAATTCACTTGCCAATTTTAGTCTTAAGAAAGCCTCTGTGATTTAAACAAGCAAGCCATGGGAACCAATGTGGAAATGCAAGATCTTTGAGATGAGTGGAGAAAATTTATTTAGAATTGGAACAAACTGTCCCTACCAAAACCAGTCAGAGTGTGACTCAGCAGAGGGAGAAACACAGGTCATGTGGAAGAGTCAGTAATGGAAAACAGTAGGGCAGTTCTTGTTCATTGCATTGCCTGACAAGGTAAGCCATTATGGATGCGAGGCAGATCTTGTCCTCTTATTAAACTGATGTCACATTGCTTTGGGTGTAGTTAATATGGAAAAATAGTTTTTGTGCCAAAAGCATTAGTAGAAATAAAGGTTGACCATGTGTCCTCCCTACCTGTTCCTTGATCTGACTCTTCCCCTAACCCTCCCAGATACCCCCCTTCCTGTGTGACAAATATATTGGAACAATAAAAAATGAAAAGAAAATTTAAAAAAAAAAGAAAGAAAGAAAGGTTGAGAAATTGTTAACTCTAACCCATAGTCTTCCCTTTAGTAAGTCATTGACAGGCACACATGTAAGGCCAGCCAGTCAGCTGAAGTGCATCAATAATTGCGCAGCTGCTGTGAGATTGTCAGTCACACTCCATATCCTGTGGTTTCAAGTACATGGAGCTGACTCAGAGACCAGTTGTACTGAGTTGAGGAGAGAAGTTGGATTTAGCTACCATGGAGCTGAGCATATTCTTTCCAGTGTATGCTTAATCAAGCTCTTTCTGGGATATACATATATATATCTGGGATATATATATATATATATATATATATATATACACACACACACACACACACACACACATATACACATATATATACATATATGTGTGTGTGTGTATAGATAGATAGATATAATTTTTATTGTTTTTCAAGTATAGTTGTCTCCATTTTCCCCCCACCACTCCCCTCTGCCCCACCCATCCCCACGTCCCACCCTCAATCCTATCCCCTTTGGCTTTGTCCGTGAGTCCTTTATACAAGTTCCTTCATGACCCTTCCCCTTCTTTCTCCTATTATCTCCCTCTCCCCTCCCCTCTGGTCACTGTCAGTTTGTCTTTATTTCAATATCTTTGGTAATATTTTGCTTGCTTGTTTGTTTTGTTGATTAGGTTCCACTTACAAGTGAGATCATATGGTGTTTGTCTTTCACCGCCTAGCTTATTTCACTTAACATGATACTCTCCAGTTCCATCCATGTCGTCATGAAGCATAGAAGTTCCTTCTTTCTTTCTGCTGTGTAGTATTCCATTGTGTAAATGTAACAGTTTTTTTGATCCACTCATTTACCGATGGGCACTTAGGTTGCTTGCAGCACTTGGCTGTTAATAACTGTGCTGCTATGAATATTGGGTACATAGGTTCTTTTGAGTAGATGTTTCAGGACTTTTAGGGTATAGTCCCAGCAGTGGAATCACCGGTTCAAAAGGCAGTTCCATTTTTCACTTTTTGAGGAAATACCAAACTGTTTTCCACAGTGGCTGCACCAGTCTACATTCCCACGAACAGTGTACTAGGGTTCCCTTTCCTCCACAGCCTCATCATCACTTCCTGTTTGTTGATTCATTTATGATGGCCACTCTGACTGTTGTGAAGTGGTATCTCATTGTGGTTTTAATTGGCATTTCTCTGATGGCTAGTGATACTGAGCATCCTTTCATGGGTCTATGGGCCCTCTGTATATCCTCCTTGGAGACATGTCTGTCCAGGCCCTTTTCCCATTTTTTGATTGGGTTGTTTGTCTTCCTGGAATGGAGTTGACTGAGTTCTTTACATATTTTGGAGATCAAATGCTTGTCTGGTGTATCATTGGCAAATATATATTCCCATATGGTTTGTTCCCTTTTTATTTTACTCATGTTTACTTTAGCCATGTAAAATCTTTTTATTTTGATGAAGTCTCATTTGTTTATTCTTTCCTTTATATCCCTTGCTCTAGGGGACATATCAGTGAAAATATTGCTGCATGGAACATCTGAGATTTTCCTGCCTATGTTCTCCTCTCATGTTTCTATGGTCACTTAATATTCAACAAAAGGGGTAGAATCATAAAATGGAGTAAAAATAGCCTCTTCAGCAAATGGTGTTGGGAGATCTGGAAAGTACATGCAAAAAATAAAACTTGACCACCAACTTACAGCATGGGCTAAATATTTCTTTGAAGCACTGATTCCTTGTCTCCCTTTCTAGCAGCTTTTACTGCTGGGTCAGGTTGATTTTGATGTCTATTGCCTGGCCCCCCAAAGAAATCAGTTTAAAATTCTGTTCTCAGAAGTTCTCCCTTCTCAAATCTCTACCTAAGTTTAACATTTTTGCTTTGAGGGGTTCATTAATTTTGCCTAGGTTTCATTCAGTTATTAAAAACATCTTAGCCCTGGCTGGTGTGGCTCATTGGACTGAGTGCCAGCCTGTGAACCAAAGGGTCTCTGGTTCAATTCCCAGTCAGGGCACATGCCTGGGTTGCGGGCCAGGTCCCCAGTAGGGGGCACATGAAAGGTAACCACACATTGATGTTTCTCTCCTTCTCTTCCTCCCTTCCCCTCTCTCTGAAAATAAATAAATAAATATCTTTAAAAAATACATCTTAAACATGAAGTTACATGATTATTACATACTTATAATTTTTACATTAGAAAACACAGAAAAGAGAGAAAACAATCACCATCTGTAATTATACCTCTAAATATATAAACTTTATTTAAAATGCTATTAAATATATATGATTCTCAATATTGTTTTACAAATTAAAAACAATAAAATCATAACAGTGCAGTAAGCAAAAATACTTGTTGCAAAGTATTTTATTGATAGAATGTGTTTACTAAAATGGAACCCTTAAAACCTGTTCTCTTTTATATTGATAAATGTATAGTTAAACATTTCCAAATCACTGTCATGGGAATTTCTCAATTCAGTATTAAGTTCAGCAAATTTTTGGTCATTTGCAAACAGAGAGCCCAGCCTGATTGTTCTAGTTACTGATAAAGAGGGAAGGAAGCTGCAGCCTACCCGTTCCCAGGTCTTAGACAGGTGGACTGGGCTCATGCTCCCCTGCCAAAAGATGAGATGAAGCAGCTGATGGTGTTTTCTCTCCTCTGTTTTGTCAGTATTGATCTGGACCTGAGCTTCTGCTCACTACCTGAATTTTAACAGCATGCTGATCCTTCTTCCCATGTATTGATATCTGCTGTCCTTCCTAGCGGCATCTGCTCAGTGAGTCCCAACCACTCATATGTCAACATTCACATTAAAGAATGTGATTTAGAACACCTGAAGTGGAAAAAATGTGAATTAGGATAAAGTGTCAAAGAACAATTTTTTTTTTTCTGAATAGCAGTACATCTTGTATTACTTTAAGGGCATTCACCTGAATGCCAGTTTGTAAAGTACATTCAATTAAACTAAACCAATAGGGGAAAAAAGACACATTACAGGGTTTCTAGGAAAAAATGAGAAATAGGATGGGAAATGACTGTGGTGTAAAAATGTAATTTTCTTTTAATTTTCACAGCCACTCTGAAGTATGTATAAATCATGGTATAAATCTTTATACCAAATAAAGTATAAATCTTTATTTATAAACCATAAAGACTTAAAGATAAAAAGAAACAGACAAGAGAACCTGGACCCTTCAGACAGCCCAACACCAAGGCACTAGGAATGGAAGCCCAAGGTCTGCTTTGGTAGCCAAGGATGTGGGCAAGGGTGAGTTGGTATTGGCATGCTCTGTTTAAGATGTTGTTTATGGGTTGCTGAATTTCATAAAGCTTCCTGGGAGACACCTGACCTTGATTACTTTAAATTTGTAGATTTGCAGGCACACCCTGAGAAAACAAGTGTATCTCAACCTCACCTTCCATAAACTGGTGATATTTATGATCTGCCTACACACAGGTGAGGCAAAACATGAAACTGTAGGCTTCTGAGCATTCAGAGTCTAGTTTCATTCATCCATGCTTACAGACATTTAACAAATATTTATTTTACAACTGGCACCATTTGCCAGGCACTGTTCTAGGCCTATTTTCATGGAACTTACATTCTGTTTCTTTGGGAAAAGAATGAGTATGAAAAAGATCTTGGGTCTGTCTACAATCAAGGTTTATTGGGCACCTTCTACAGACCTAGTATTCTGCTACACGCTATATATGGGATTTTACTTTTCTAGTGAGAAAAGCCATGGCACTCCTGAGACATCTGTCACAATCCTTTTCATCTTTCCATTTAGCTATTCATGTCATTGCACACCTGTTTAACTTTGAATTATACAGCAGAAGCCAACAGGCCACAGATGGATCCCTTGTTTCTGTTCTTTCCAGACTATCTTGTTAAGAGAAAGAGGAGGATTTTTGGCTAAATCCCACCCAGTCTTCAAACATTGTGAGTTTACTCAATGGCAAAGCATCTGGACTCTGGTCAGGAACAGGAAAAGCATGGTATCCTTGTTGGATATTGTGTCAGACTGACATTTCTCCTTTCATAGACAGTGATATACGTGACATTCACAGCATTCCTGGTTTCACTGGAGTGATCATTGCAGTAGTTCTGGTTCTCATGGTGACTTCACCTATCGAGTTTATCTGGAGGAGTTATTTTGAGGTCTTCTGGTATACACTCCATATTTTCATCATTTACTTCACTGGCTTAGGAATTCATGGCATTGGGTGAGGTCCTCAGACTCTTTTCTTATCCCCCAGCCCCTGAGCTTGCATAATTCTTTGCTTTGAACTGTTCTTCTTTTTCTATTTCAGTAGAATTGTCCGAGGTCAAACAGAAGACAGCATAAAGGAGAGCCATCCTCACAGGCGCTCAGGTATTTTTGAGAAATGGGATGATCATGACTCCCACTGTGAGCATTCCCAATTTGAGGGGAATCCTGCTGAGGTAAAAACCCTATGAACAAGGATAGACTCTTGTTAGGAACTGTTTTTATTATTGTTATTATTACCATTATTAGTTCAGCCAGTATAACCACAAAATTCCTACCATCAAGAAACTCCAATATTTCTGGCAACAAGCTGAGGAGTTATTGTTATGAGAGGACCCTCAGGATGAAAGACTAATTGTTAGTGCATGTTGTGAAACTCTCTCCAAAGGTAATAATGATAATCCATGTTAATAAGTGTTTACCATGCCCAGGTTTGCTATGTAATATGGATTATTTCATTTATACATAGCAATAACCTATGAAGTAAGTGCTTCTTTTGTCTCCATTTTGAGACAAAAGGTCTAGGATCTTAAGAGATGAAGTAAACTCTCCAGCTCTCACAGTAAGTAACTAGTGGGGCTGGAATTTAAGCCCAGGCTTTTCAGATTTCAAAGACAGTATTCTAGACAACTGTATTGTCCCAAAGGTTAGCTTTGAAATCTCAGTCAATGTCTTTTTTGGGGAAAAAAAAAGCATTCTTTTTAGTGCTATTGAAGTATAATTGACAAATAAAATTGTATATATTTAGAATGTACAATATGATGAATGATATACATAAACTTTGTGAAATGACTACCACAATGAGGTTAATTAACATATCCATCACTTCACATAGTTACTATTTTTTTTTGTGGTGGAAATGTTTAAGATCTACTTTCTAGCAAATTTTGAGTATTATTACACTATTATTAACACAGTATTATTATCTATAGTCACCATACTGCACATTAGATACCCAGAGTTTATTCACCTTGTAACTGAAGGTTTGTACACTTTGACCAACATCTCTCCATTCCAACCTCCACACTCCCACCACCAGGTACTGGTTAACCACTTTCCTACTATGTTTCTACAAGTTCAACTTTTTTTTATTGTTGCTCAATTAAAGTTGTCCCAATTTTCCCCCCATTGTTCTCCCCTGCCCTGCCCACCCCCACTCCCTCAATCAGTCTCCACTATGTTGTCCATTACCATGTGTCTTTTATACATGTTCCTTGACTAGACCCTTCCCTTCTTTCACCCATTTTCCTCTTCCCCCTCCGCTCTAGTCACTGTCAGTTTGTTCCTTGTTTCCATGTCTCTGGTTCTATTTTTTTTTTTTATTCATTAGGTTTCACTTATAGGTGAAATCATATGGTATTTGTCTTTTGCTGCCTGGCTTATTTGACTAAGGATAATACTCTCCAGATCCATTCTTGCTGTCATGAAGGGTAGGAATTCCTTCTTTCTTTCTGCTCCATATTAGTACTCCATTGTGTAAATGTACCGGTTTTTTTTATTCACTCATTTACTGATGGACACTTAGGCTGTTTCCAGCACTTGGCTATTGTAAATAATGCTGTTATGAGGCTATTTAGAGTTGTTTATCATTCCATATAAAAATTTGAAATTTTGTCCTATATCTGTGAAATATGTCATTGGTATTTTGAGAGGGATTGCGTTGAATCTATAGATTGCTTTGGGTAGTGTGGACATTTTAATGATATTAATTTGTCCAATCCATTAACATGTTTTATGCTTCCATTTATTTGTGTCTTCCTTAATTTCTTTCTTCAATGTTGTGTAGTTTTCTGAGTACAGGTCTTTTACCTCCTCCGTTAAGTTTATTTCTAGATATTTTATTTTTCTTGTTGCTATAGTAAATGGGATTTTCCCCCTAGTTTCTGATATTTCATTGTTGGTATACAAAAATGCCTTCAATTTCTGAATATTGACTTTGTAGCCACTGTTTTATCAAATTCATTTATTTTGGTGTCCATAGACATATGAAAGATGCTCAATATCACTATCCATCAGAGAGATGCAAATTAAAACCACAATGAGATTCTACTTCACACCAGTCAGAATGTCCATCATTTATAAATCAACAAACATGAAGTGCTGGTGAGGATGTGGGGAAAAGGGAACCCTGGTGCACTGTTTGTGGGAATGCAGACTGGTGCAACCACTGTGGAAAAGAGTATAGAATTTCATCAAAGAACTAAAGATGAAACTGTCTTTCGATCCAGTGATCCCACTGCTAGGCCTATACCCTAAGAATCCTGAAACACCAATTCCAAAAAACCTGTGCACCCTAATTTTCAACTTCTTAAAAAAGCATTCTTGAGGTTGGCTTTCACTGGTGTTATAAGAATATGCTAAGATGGACCTGAAGATTGTTATGCTAAGTGAAATAAGCCAATCAGTGAAAGACAAATATCATATGACCTCACTTATATGTGGACTCTAATGAACAAAATAAACTAATAAGCAAAATAAAATCAGAGGAATAGAAACATGGAATAGATTGACAGCTATAAGGGGGGGGGCTGGTCAAAAGAAGCTAAAAGGATTAGCTGGAGAACCTATATGCATGACCCATAGACATGGACAACCGTGTGGGGATTGCCTGCGGGACATGTTGGGCAGCTGGGTGGAGGGGGACAAAGGGGCAAAAAGTGGGACAACTGTAATAACATAAACTATAAAATATAATTTAAATTAAAAAATAACATGCTTAGAAATTATTGTTAGATAGTGGATGACCAAGAAAGTGGATTCCAAAAAACTCAAAGTGTACCTCAGTGTAATTATGTGGATATTATGGCTTACTTTTACTTGCTCATAAAATATGTTAGATTGAAGAATAAAGGGAAGGGAAAAGTTAACTTGTGGTGCCTCAAAGTTCTCTGAGGATGACTAAATCATTTAAATCAGATGCAGAATGAAGAGCAATAGCTCAGTCCTTATCTAGAAAGGGAAAATTATCTAAAAAAGTTCCCTAAAGTTGGCATTTTAAATCAGTGGGAAAAAGATAACAGCATTCAATAATTTTTTAAGGATAATAAGACATTCATCTAGGAAGAAAAACTTTCTCTTTATTCCACACTTTACATTAAAATGTGGATGAAGGATGCATGGGTCAAGAATTTAAATGTTAAAAAAATAAAGAAATCATAAAAGTACTCTAAGACCACATGAGAATTTTTTTCTAATACTGGAATATTAGTAAAAATACTCTCTAAGATTTAAAAAACTATAAAACAAGAAAATGAAACATAATAAATTTTAATAAATATATATTCAAATTTATTATCACATGCACACATAATTTTGTGTAGCAAAAAATAAAACTCTGCATAAATAATAAAAGCAGGCAGCAAATTACCAAAAAGGAAAAGTATTTACAATGTACAGTCCATAAACTAATTTCCTGATATATAAATGACTCCTACAAATCAACAACAAAATGTCTAACAACTCAGTAGAAGACATGAACAGTATGATCACAGAAATGGCAATATATGTTAATCTTAAATATATGAAGTGATGCTAGATGTTTTTCATAACAGAAGAAATGCAAAAAAACTACATTAAGATACTTAAAAAAAACAAACAGATTAGCAAAGATCAAAAAGTCTGCTGGTGTGCTGTGTTGGCAATGCTCTCATGCATTGCTGGGGAGTGTACATGTGTACAACTGCTTGTAAGGATGATTTGGCAGTATTTATCAAATTTAAAAATTATATTTTCAGGAGTTTTTCTAAAAATATACCTGCATATATGTTAACATGTATTAGGTTATTCATTGTCACATTGCTTAATAGAACAAAAGATTGTAAATAAGTGCCAATCAATAGAGGACTGGTTAAGTTATGGGACTTTCCTACAATTATGGGACTTTTCTACAGCCATTAAAGAGAAAGAAGTAGCTCTGTAAGTACTAATATAGAGTGGTCTCTAAGATGTTAAATGAAAAAAGGCAGGGCAGTGTGTATAGTCTGCTACCATTTGCACTTTAATGCAATATTATCACATAAATGAATATTCTCTGGAAGGATTTACAAAATAATAACCTCACCTCTGGGGAGTTGAGGCATAGGGATGGGAAGGAAGATTTGTACTTTTAAATTTTGTGCAATGTACATATATTACTTATTTAAAAAATAATTTGAAAATTGCATACCTGATATATGTTAAGAGCACATTTCATTTAAAAAGTCAGAGGAGCCCTAGCTGGTCTGGCTCAGTGGATTGAGCACTGGCCTGTGAACCAAAGTGTCACCGGTTTGATTCCCAGTGTAGGGCACATGCTTGGGTTGCAGGCCAGATCCCTAGCAAGGGGCGTGTGAAGTGGAACCACACATTGATGTTTTTCTCCTTCTTTCTCCCTCTCTTCCCCCGTCTAAAAGGTAAAAAAAAAAAAAAAAAAAAAAAAAAAAACAGAGGAACTTGTAAGCTATAACCAGAGTCCTCCTGCATTATTCAACAAGAGACCCTTAAAATCAGGAACTTATAAAGCTCGATCAGTCTGTTACTAAGGCAGCTAATCCTCTTTCATACCTTGCACATCAACATGTATTTTTTCCCACATATTAACACACATAGGGTATATTTGGCTTATTTGGAGATATACTTAAAACTCAAGGGACCTGTGATTGATGACATAATACCCCAAGGGAGAGAACACCAGTTTTGCCATCTATTTTAATATATTGCTTTATTTCTTCCATAAATATTAAAAAATGTTCTCTCCATAGTATCCCCATTTAAAAATTATAAAAATAATTCCTGGTTATTGTAGAAAGTTTGGAAAATGCAGAAAAATATTTAGAGGAAAATAAAAATTTCACAGAGTTCTACCATATAGACTTAATAATTTTTCCCCTTCAACCATATCATTGGATGCTTTCTTCTGTTGTCAGATATTCTTTTTTTTCCCAGTGAGTGTGTCCTCTCTCTGTCATTCTCTCTTTCTTTCTTTTTTTTATGTTTAATTTTTATTTATTTTTCATTTTTTTAATTTATAAATCATGTTTGTTCTATTACAGTTGTCTCAATATTTACCCATTTACCCCCTCCACCCATCCCACCCCCACCACCCCGACTCCCATAGTCAATTCCCAATCTGTTGTCCATGTCCATGGGCCATTCATGCATATTCTTTGTCTAGTCCCTTCCCCTTCTTTCCACCATT